GGACCTTAGAATGTACGCCCCTTAGAGGTGTTGGGGACTGATGTGAATGGTACGAATATATGCATAAATTGATTGGTGCTTTATAAGTACCTGAAATAATAGAATAATGTGAAAATATTGCTTTTGAAAATCACAGAGCAGGAAACCACTCATTCCCAACTACGTAGAATGTGATCGGGGCCTTACAGGTTCATGTCCCTCCCCCAGTCCATGACTGGTCCTCAACCGAAAAGAAGAATCCAGCAAAAATACTGTTGCCCTTATCCCTCTGTCTGATTGAACTGCACAGTGGCTAAAATTGTTAGCACTTCCGCCTGGCCTAGTTAACATCGGGTCGATTAAGTTCAGCATCCCAACCACTGGCACCCACCTGCCTGGAGTTTGTAATGTTCTCCCCTGTGGCCTGCATGTGTTTCCTCCCAGGTACTCCAGTTTTCCTCCCACACACTATCAAAGAGAACAATGCTGTAGGTTAATGGTTAATATGATTTCCTGTCCCAATTGGGCCTTAATATGTAGGTAAATGTGGCGTTAGGGACCTTAGATTGTACACTCCCTTTAGTGGTTAGGCGGGACTGATGTTGATTTGTTACAATGTGACAGGATAGTCACTTTGGGTGGGGGGGCCCATGGAAACACAGTATCTGACTTTTGGAGGGGTGGGGGACGACCCCTGTCTCATCAGCTCCCAATAACCCTCATCATGTGTAAGTCACCCTGTGCTTGTTAGGGGTTACCAGGTGAAAGTGTTCTACATATTGGGGAGGGGGGTTGTTCAATTGTTTACTGCCATGTAGGTCCCATTGTTTCTAATTGTGTTCCTGCATATGGGAGCAAACTATTATGGGCTGGTATGTTTTTGTAATGGCATTGCGTGTGTGGGCAGAGGGTACTGTTTACCAGCATGCCTCCGCTGATGGGACCTGTCCCTGTTGGTGGTGTGTCTCTTCTCTTAGATTGTCTAAGTATAGATTGCCACCCGCCCAGTGGTGTCATAATGGTCAGGGAGGGGGGGTAATTTGTACCATGAGTGTATAAAAAAGCCTGTTCGAGTTTAAAATAAAGAGTTTTTCATGTTCAATACAGAATGGTGGTGTCATGTGTAGTTCTATTTCCTGTGTGGTCCAGAGCGGTGGTTGTCCGGTTGATCTGTGTTCGGACGGTGAAGAACGTGGGAGCCATAACGGAAATACCCTAGTGCAGTCGGGGGGGGTCCGGTTACATACATTATATATAAAAAAGTCGCTGCATTAAATTGACATGCGCTATATACAGTTGTGATCATAATAATAGCAGTGTGTTGAAAAAAAAGTGAACTAAAGCTGAAATTCCTTCTAATTGCTTTTATTTCCATCCACACAAAATGCATTGGGAAAACACAACACATTCTATTCCAAATACAACAACATGGAAGAAAAATACCATCAAAATTGAGTTGTTACCTCTAAAAAAAAATTGAAGAAAAAAGTGGAATAATAGGAGACCGGTATCAAAAAAAATGGCAGTGTTTGTATTCTTCTTTACACACTCCAACTTACACTATATTAAACTGAGATAATGTTTGTGAAGAGTTTGCTCTTCCCTTTGAATAACTTCATGAATATTTGGTTTGTAGTCGCACTGTTTTTCTGAAGAACATGACTTAGTACATGCTGTGTTGCATGGAGTCACCAACTTCTGGCCCCTTCGTGATCAGGTATTTCCAGCCCAGGATGATTGGGACCACATTCCAACAGTTGTTCTCTAATTCTTGGTTTTGCCTGCAGATACGGGCATTATTGATAAGTCACACCAACAAGTTTTCTATTGGATGAAGGGATCCGGGGATTGGGATGGGTCCACTCCATATTGTCATTCATGTTGGTCTGGAACCAAGATGTTTGTACATTTACTGGTGTGTTTGGGGTTTCCGTTGTCTCTGTGTGGAAACACCCGATTTCAAGGGCAATTTATCCTCATCAGCATAATGGCAGCATTGGACCTCTTCAAGTATTCTGATGGATTCAAGACTGATCCCTCAGATCCCTGGGTATGCGATAAATAGGCCCACCAGCCGTTAGTATGAAGAAAACATCCTCTTATCATGATTGCTTTGCACCACAATGCCTTCACTGTTCTTCACAGTTGTACTGTGGCATTGAAGTTCAGTGTCCTTGGGGGTGGGTACGTCTGACTAAACTGGTCTCCGCTCACATAGACCAAAAAGAACAATCTTACTTTCATCAGTCCACAAAATGTGCGTCATTTCTCTTTAGGACGGTCATAATGTTTATTGCATTTGGCAGATTGTAACCTCTTCAGCCAACACCGTCTTCTTCTTCCCAACAGTGGGACTGTTGCGCGGGACTTACTTGCAGATAGCTTGGCTTCACATAGGCGTCTTCATAAATTGTAACCAGTCCTTCACACAGGGAAGCATGCTCACCTTCTTTCATCTTCCTGGAGCTGATTGGTTTGCGGAGATCCTCCACAGGGAACGTCACACCTTCTTCTCTTCTTCCTGGAGCTAATTGTTGGCTGAGTCCTCACAGGGAACGTTCACGACCTTCTTTTCATCTTCCTGGAGCTGATTTGTTGGCTGAGTTCCGTGCCATTTTTGGCTATTCTTTCTATCCATTGCCAATTGGTAGTTTTTGCTGCTGTTCTTCCGGCGTCTATTCAGGTTTTGGTTGCCATTTAAAAGCATTTGCCATCATTTTAGCCTGAGCAAGGGCCGATCATTTTCTTGCAATTCGTTTATATGTGTTTTCCCTTCGTCCAATTCAACTTTTTAAATCAATGTCCTGGAACGACGCCATTTTCCTCTGACATTTCAGAGAGAAATTGCACTGTAACCGGCAATGTCCAACATTAGCTGCCATTCCTGTTCCTTAAATAAGGGCAAATAATTGCCACCCTGTTTTTCAAAGAAAATGAATGACCTCAATATTTGAAAAAACTCACACACTGCTGATTATTTTATGAAATACACGTCCCCTTTTCAATGCAGTGATTTCAATGACAACAGACATCAGCAAGCATTCATGTCATGACTGTTGGGTGCTGTTGGATTTCCTTATTACTCAACTACACCTGCTAGGAATATGATTTGCCATGAGTAGAAATATTCAATTTCAAACCAAAAAACAGTGATTGATCCGGTTATAGTGATGATCTGATTGCTATTATATTGAACATAACCTGGGGCGGATGACCATTTGGAAACCTAGGACACACCCCGATGGCCCGGGGGTCAGTAGGGTGGCCCCAATGAGGATGCCCCTGGTTACCATTTTTTCATAGTCTTTATGAGTCATGAGCAAGGACACCAGGGGCCCCATTGATCCCCTAGTGCCCGGGGGAGCCCCTTGAAGTTGTCAGTCTGCCCGTGAAATGAACATAACTGTAAGTTACCTAAATAAATACACATTTTGATCTCACCTCCTATAAAAAGGTCCCATGTGTTAGCGCCGTGATCAAATTGCAGACACAATTAATTATGGCTTTCCCCTTGTTCCTAGTCTAGGCTCTGCTGTAGCAGAGATTGCAAAGTATCTTCCCGCCCAGGTAGGTACATTTTTTGATGTATTACTGAATACAGAGCTGCATTTGTTGTGTCTGAGAATCTGCCTAGGAATTCAGCTTATAAATCAAACGACATCCTCTAAAACCCTTTCCGCTTTTGTACTTGCTCTCGCCCCATCTAGATGGGCAGCGTTTGAATAGAACACAATCCTAACCAACCAGTCTCTGCGCTCGAGCTCTGGAACATATGAACACAATCGCCGAGTGAGCCCTTTGTAACTCGTAGATCTTTTTTTTTTTCCCCCCGCTTAAACAACGCAGTGTCATCCGTCGTCCCTGCACCATTATTATTATTTTTTTTAAAATCTACTGACGCAGACAAAGTGAAAGCTACACTTTCAAGTTTAAATTTACAAGTATAATTAGGGAGAAAGTGCCAATCCGGCATGGATCCACACCTGACAAGTAATTTACAAGGCAACTATTAATTTTCAGCAGCTGCCGAAACATTATGAATATACTTGAAAAGATAAACCAGTGTTTGAAAGAATCTAGGAAAGTTGCTACATGGCTTAAAATGAAGCATTAGAGAGAAAAGCTAGATTTCCTAACGGCACAATATAATATAAACCACTTCAAATTGGCTTGTAAAATGCCCGGGCGGAAAAACATCTGACGAACACGAGACCAGCTGGGAGGACATTTAAACATTTTCAATTTGCATGTGTGGAGGCTGCGAGAGATTTAACAACAACGTTATTGTATCATCAATCTGCGTATTTACAATAGGAATTACTCTAATGTTTCCAGCGGGGGTAGCGGTGATATGTCTTGTAAGCCCTGGCAGCACCACTCATTACCTTACCATTCTGTAATATATATTGTAACCCATCCAACCAGTCCAGGGGCGGGATCGGATCCATTAGGGAACTTCGGGCACTGCACGAGGGCCCCGGGGTCCATTAGTGCGCCTCCCATGAGAATGCCACTGGTACATATTTCCATAGAGCATATTTGAGTTTTGGGCAAGGACACAGGGGCTCCCACAAGTAACACGAGAACGTTGGAAATACAATTATTTTAGTAAAGATATAAACTGCCTAAATTCCTTTTTCTCATCAGCAGTTAAAGCTGTCTTGTGACCATCCCATGGTCCGCACCGATCCCCGGGAACCTCGTGACATTCACTTTATCCGCTTCCCCGGACCCACGCATTCACTATATCCGCTCTCACCCGAACCCCGCACTCACTTTAATCCGCTCTCCACGGACCCCGCAATCAATATATCCGCTCTCCCCACAGACCCGCATTCACTATATATGCTCTCCCGACACCGCTCATTCACTATATGGCCGCTCTCCCTGAGACCCTTGCATCTCACTATATCTCCCTCTCCCCCGGACCCCCCATTCCCACTATATCCGCTCTCCCCGGATCCCCGCATTCACTATATCCGCTACTCCCTCCCTAGGACCCCTGCATTCACTATATCCGCTCTCCCTGGAAACCCCGCATTCACTATATCCGCTCTCCCCGGAACCCCTCATTCACTATATCCGCTCTCCCCCCAGACCTTCCCCGGCATTCACTATATCTCCGCTCTCCCCGGATCCCCGCATTCACTATATCCGCTCTCCCCCGGACCCCGCATTCACTATGTTCCGCTCTCTCCCGGACCCCGCATTCACTATATCCGTCTCCCCAGACCCTGCATTCACTAATATCCGCTCTCCCCAGACCTGGCAAATTCACATATATCCACTCTCCCGGACCCCGCATCTCACTTTATCCACTCTCCCCGGACCCGCATTCACTATATCCCTCTCCCCTGGACCCCGCATTCACTATATCCGCTCTACCCCGACCCCGCATTTCCACTAATCCGCCGCTCCCCCGGACCCCCAATTCACTATATCCGCTCTCCCCGGGACCCCGCATTCACTATATCCGCTCTCCCCGGACCACCAGCATTCACTATATCCGCTCTCCCCGGACCCCGCATATTCACTATATCCGCTCTCACCCGGACCCCGCATTCACTACATCCGCTCTCCCCGGACCCCGCATTCACTATATCTGGTCTCCCCGGACCCCGCATTCACTATATACTGCTCTCAATCTGGACCCCGCCAGGATCACTATATCCTCCGCTCTCCCCGGACCCCGCATTCACTATATATCCTGGGTCTCCCCGGATAACCCCGCATTCACTATATCCGCTCTCCCTGGGACCCCGCATTCACTATATCCGCCTCCCCTGGACCCCGCATTCACTATATCCGCTCTCCCCGGACTCTGCATTCACTATATCCGCTCTCCCGGACCCCGCATTCACTATATACCGCTCTCCCCGGACCCTGCATTCACTATATCCGCTCTCCCCGACCCCGCACTCACTATATCCGCTCTCCCCGGACTCTTGCATTCACTATATCCGCTCTCCGTGGACCCCGAATCCTTTCTCCCCGGACCCCCCCCCGCATTCACTATATCCGCTCTCCCCGGACCCCGCATGTTCACTATATCCGCTCTCCCCGGGACCCCCGCATTCACTATATCCGCTCTCCCCCGGACTCTGCATTCACTATATCCGCTCTCCCGTGGACCCCACATTTCACTATATCCCGCTCTCCCCGGACTCTGCACTCCACTATATCTGCTCTCCGTGGAACCCTGCATTCACTATATCTGGTCTCCCACAGTACACAGAGAACAATGGAAATGCAATTAATATAGTAAATATAAACTGTTAAATACCTTTTCTCATCAGCAGTTAAAGCAGTCTTGTGACCTCTATCAGTGTCCAGCCGAACACTGGTTAAAGCTTGTCTGAGGTTAACACTGGTTAAAGCTTGTCTCTAGGAGGATGCAGACCCCCTGAGCTCTGTCTGGACAGTGCTTATTGGCCCTGTGCTGATTACATGTACTCTCCCAAGGAAAAAAAAAAAAACCCCAGCAATACACACCATACTGAACATGTGCAGTGTCTCCACACGTTATGTCTTATCAAAAGATACCTAGGGGACCACTGGAAGAAGGGGAGGATCAGAGAACACAGGATCAAACATCTTTTTTACACAACGCAGAGGATTAACCCCTTAGGTTCCACAGTGAGTATAACAAGCATGCTTTCCTGCATCTACAGACTGATTTTATTGTTGTGGGTAGTAACACTTTAACCCTTTATCCTTGTCCTGGGAGATCTCCAAAGCAGCCAGGAGGGCTGGTAGTGTCTGCGGGCTGTGGAGCCGGGAGCTGATCTACAGGAAGAAAGAGGATATATCTCTGCATGTAGTTTGCAACAATCTAAACTAACTTTCAGAGGGGCTGAGAGTTCCTCGCCCGTAAGGGGCAGTTGCTACTGATCTGTAAATGACCAGGGGCGGACTGACCATTTGGAAACTCGGGCACTGCCCGAGGGCCCGGGGGTCATGTAGGGGGCCCCATGAGATGCCCCTGGTACCTTTTTCATAGGCTTTTTTGAGTTTGGGCAAGGACACAGGGGCTCCATGATCCCCTATTGCCCGGGGGCCCCATGAGTTCTCAGTCCGCCCTTGGTGGAGACAATGTTCTGATTGTACAGCTTTTCCTGTTATAAAATTCACTAAAAGCAAACAGGTGCATCCACATTGTTGACATCACAACGCTATGGAATTTTTCAGAGATCCTGATCTGTCTTTATATAAGGAGATCACATTCATTCACCATCCATGCTTCATCAATTCTGACCTCTTCCAATTGGGCAAATCTTTATGCTGAGCTCAAAAATAACAATAAAAGGGCGCAGAGGCCTCGTGCATTACCAAATGAAATTGTGGTAGGTGCAGTTTGTTTTCTCCAAGGAAGGTGGCGCTGGACCACAGTAGGGAGGGGAAGTAGAGGGAACCTGGGTTTCTCTATGACTTTCTGGTCACATAGAGCAGCGATTTGGTTGGCTGCTCTTGTCCCATGTGACACTGGCAGCCATCTTGGGTCAAGCAGAGTCTATTTAAGACTCTGCCCCCGGCTAGTAAAGGGACAGGTCACCCGTCTGTCATTAGCAGTAGGGAAAGGTATGGAGGTGAAATAGTAGGGACTTCATCTACCTTCTGAGGAAGCTTCCCCATTGGTTTGGACTGGCCAGGCCGCACTCTACTCCTTGTGACAGACACTGTCGGCAGCTTGGAGCCTACATCTTGTTATCTCTGCACTGAACTGTTGTAAGTGCCTCGGTTGGGTGAACCTCACCAGCAGCCATGGTTGTACTGTTTTACTAGTTCTGAAATACACCGTTTTTAGCAAACCGAAGCTCTGTGTGCTTTCTGCTGCCACACTACGCTGCACCTACCCAACAAGTTGCTTTGAGGAAGGGCCCCCTACTGACCCCAGGCCCTTGGGCAGTGCCCGGGTTTCCAAATGGTCAGTCCGCCCCTGTCTCCACCCATTGAACCATTCAGCCCAGGGGCGGACTGACCATTTGGAAACTCGGGCACTGCCCGAGGGCCCGGGGTCAGTAGGGGGCCCCATGAGATGCCCCTGGTACCTTTTTCATAGGCTTTTTTGAGTTTGGGCAAGGATACAGGGGCCCCATGATCCCCTATTGCCCAGGGGCCCCATGAGTTGTCAGTCCGCCCTTGATTCAGCCCCACACCTTTATTTATTTATTTTTAGTCTTGTTAGATATCCTTTTTCTAGGTGTTTTTAGTTCAGTTACATGACCTCACTGGTCCTCTTCCTCATATCCAGTCTGGAGGCAGGCAGCTTCTGAATGTTTCAGAGAGGGTCACTATGTAATGACATGGTGCCTCGGTCTGTAGAATTCTCCTGTGAGCTCAGGCTGGAGTGATGGTGGGGGTGGATCACTAACAATGTGGGGTCCCAGGAAATACATTGAATTAGGCTAAGTGTAGGCAGGTGAAGGTTGACCTACCTACATAGGTGGCATTGCTGCACCACCATGCAGGGATAGTGGAGGACAGAAGGAATACCCATTACTCTGAGGCCTCCATACGCATCATCTGGTGACCCATCTTTAGTGAGGGCAGTGCTTAAAAAAAAGCACTGTCCCCTCAGCGGTCGGTGTGCCATCCATTTGTGGTTTGATTAGGGACAGGAACCTGCTTGACAGGGAGAGTGTGCCTAGTGTAAGGAGCAGGGGCGGACTGACAACTCATGGGGCCCCCGGGCAATAGGGGGTCACGGGGCCCCTGTGTCCTCACCCACACTCAAACCACACCCAAAAAAGCCTATGAAAGGAACCAGGGGCATCTCATGGGGCCCCCTACTGACCCTCGGGCAGAGCCGAGTTCCTAAATGGTCAGTCCGCCCCTGGTAAGGTTCCCGGGAGAGGGGTTCCCAGGCATCATTGGGAGGAGGGCTACCCCACAGCGTAGCGACTGTATACCATTTGTCAGTGTGCATAACATCATTGGGAACTTTGTTTCTGCTACGAATCGAAGCTGGAATTCTTCTACATCTGCCTTCCAGCTACCCACCCAGAGAGCTCCCACCATCCCATGCCAGGTGCTGCCACACTCAGAAATAGCGGAGCTCTCGGTATACCATTTCATTCTTCTTCTTCTTCTTTTCATTCTTTCTTTCTTCTTCTCTTTCATTCTTTCTTTTTCTTCTTTTCATTCTTCTTCTTCTTTCTTCTTCATCATTCTTCTTCTTCTTCTTTTCATTCTTCTTTTCATTCTTCTTCTTTCATTCTTCTTCTTCTTCTTTTCATTCTTCTTCTTCTTTTCATTCTTCTTCTTCTTTTCATTCTTCTTTTCTTCTTCTTCTTTTCATTATTCTTCTTCTTCTTCTTTTCTTCTTCTTTTCATTCTTCTTCTTCTTCGTCTTCTTTCATTCTTTCTTCTTCTTTGCATTCTTTCTTCTTCTTTTCATTCTTCTTCTTCTTTTCATCTTCTTTTCATTCTTCTTCTTCTTCTTCTTCTTTTCATTCTTCTGTTCTTTTCTTCTTCTTTTCTTCTTCTTTCATTCATCTCTTCTTTTCTTACTTTTCATCTTCTTCTTCTTCTCGACGGGCACTGCTGCAGCTCTCTGCATATACACTTTTAACATTCTGTGAGTGTTGCCATTCCATTCTTCTTCTTCTTCTTTTCATTCTTCTAAGACTTTGTTACTTACTGTGTTTGGAACATTTAGATAGTACAAATTCCCCAATTCTTCTTTTATAACCACTGTGTGTGCCGTGCCTTCCCTCAGAGGTCATTCCTACCATTCTTCCAGGGCCCAGGGGCGGACTGACAACCCATGGGGCCCCCGGGCAATAGGGGATCATTCTTCTTATTCTTCTTTTCATTCCCCTGTGTCCTTGCCCAAACTCTTCTTCTTCTTTTCAAAATTCTTCTTTTCCTTCTTCTTCTCATTCTTCCTAAGAAAAATTCTTCTTTGTCATTCTTCTTCTCAGGGGCATCTCATCGGGGCCCCGTGACTACCAGGGTGAAGTGTGCGGGACTGATCGACTCATCTGCATGGGGCTCCCCGGGCAATAGGGCATTTAAATAAAGGTACAGTGTTCTGCACATGTCCTTGAAGCTCAAACTTTAAAAAAGCCTATGCAAAAAGGTTTCTCCCGCAAAAGGGGCATCTTTTTGAGCTCATCCCTCTGTGTTTGGCCAGATTACAAATTCCCCAATTAAACCATGGTCCGTGCCTTCCCTCGCCCCTGGCCCAGGGGCGGACTGACAATACAATTCACCTTGTATGTCGCTGAAAAAAGCCTATGAAAAAGTTGCACCATGGGGAACAAGTGGCATGACCTCTTGGGCCCCCTTGCATTTAATGGGGCCCCTGTGTCCTTGCTCAAACTCAAAAAAGCCTATGAAAAAAGGTACCAGGGGCATCTCATGAGGCCCTCGGCCAGTTACCAAATGGTCAGTCCGCCCCTGCCTGGGCTGCAATACTTCACCTTGTATGTCGCTCCTTGCACCAGGAACAAGTGGCATGACCCTTACTTGCATTTAATTCTGGTGCAGAACCTGGGAAACTCATATTTCTCTCAGATTTTAATGAAAGTTTGACTGCTTTCAGGTCTGAAATGGTCACACCTCCATGCATCCCTCAATATTTTTAGAAAGTCTAGTCAACAGAGAGGCTTACATTGTTGTCAGGGGCGGACTGACAACTCATGGGGCCCCTGGGCAATAGGGGATCATTGGGCCCCTGTGTCCT